AGGACAGAGAACAGCATGAGGTTACCAGAGAACCCCGAGCCTTCCTATTTGTCACCCCCTCCCCAGTGTCCCCCATACCTGAGTCCACACCCAGGTGCTTGGAGGTGTGAACTCCACCCAGCACTTGCCCAGCCCCTCCAAGGCAACCAAGTGCTGCCCACTCCTCTGCTAGGGACACAGATGGTGGAAATGAGGGATTAAAGGAGAGCAGAAGGGGATCAAGATAGGGAGAAGGCTGGGCTGATAAGGAAGAATCCCAGAGACCACTGGGCATTTCAGAGAAATGGTTTTATCAGTTTAAAATGCAGTTCCCATAGGATGAATAGCTACTCATTAAAAAAAATGATAAGCTATGAAACAGGTACTATTAACATTCCAATTCAAAGACAAGCTGCACATCAAAGAATCAGAGAGGTGATATAACTCCCCAGGGCTGCACAGCATCTAGAACGTGCCAGAAACTACTCTGTAACACAGACACCAAAGTCCAGCTGAAAAAATCCTGTCTTGAACCCTTCATCTTAAGAGCTGTGGATTTTAGGCTGCGGACCTCTTGCCTACAAGTGAGATGTACTTCCCCCATGAGTTCAGGAAGGTTCTTGCACATATGGTGTGTGAATCACACTAATCTCGTGAATGATCGTCAACTTAGAGACCACGGAGGGCACCCTACTCCTGACCTTCCTGTTACAGAAAAAAATGTGCACTTCAGCAGAAAACTAGACTGTCCCCATGCAGCACAGTCTTCCCGGGTTTTGGATGCTAGCCTTTCATTGTCTTTGGGCTCTTTTACAGCTCTGTAAATTGTAGGTAACTGATCAGTTCTGTCCTGTCTTAGAGGACACCTCCCATCCCGCCTCCTCTTGTGGAAAAACTAGTTTTGCCTCCAGCCACACATTCATTTCAATATTCCTGACCTATAAACGTGAATGTTCTTCTGTTGCCGGTTATAACATCCACCTAGTTCCCTTGTTAGTTGAAATGAAATGTTTAACGCAGGTTCATTTTTTTATTTGTATGGGAGTCATGATTTCACCTTTTTTTTGAAAATCATCTTTTAAACCTTCCTTCATCAGGTGTTTATGGATGCTCCTTCAGCCAGGGAGGGTGACGGGTGGCCTGCGAGCATCCTCATTAAGCAGTTAAGATGCAGCAGGCAGGTGGCAGCTGCCCCCCAGAGCAGTCACTGAATGGGGTGGGGGGGGTACTCTGCGCAGGTGGGCAGGACAAGGTCTTGGCAAGACCTGGCTCTCCCTTTGGACCTTGACCTTAAAACACAAGCTCTCTAGGTCTGAGGGTCAGGAAGTGCAGAGGGAACTGATTTTCCTGAGTTCTTGTTTGGGATGCGGCTGGAGAGCTGGTGAGGACTGATGGTCCCTGACAGGGTTTCAGCAGGGGTAGGAAGCCTGCCCGGCAGGGGGACCCACTCAGAGGTGGACCTGCAGCGACAGCAGTCCTGCCTGAGCAGGAGGCCCAGGCCATGACCTCCAGCTGCTCCAGGGCACGGGGACGGCCCACACTGACAGCTGCTGGGAGGCCGGCCGGTGCTGCTCCCTGCTTCCTGGGGCCCTGCCCCACCCGGTCCTTCTCCCACATCCCCGTCTTACTCCTAAGGAAGCCGAGGCTCAAGGAGATGCCAGGCCCAGCCAGCGGCCACAGTGGGACCACACCCCAGGATTTCTAAACTCTCCATCTTTAGGGCCTGGTCAAAGCAAGGTCGGAAGGGCCTGTCCTCTTCCCCAGCAAAGGCGCCCAGAGGGTGAGGGGCAGGGCTTCCTGCAGACAGAACCCGTAACAGGAACTTGGAGTTGAGGAAATCAGGCCTTCTCAGCAACGGTGAGCTGACGTTAGTGGTAGTAACAACAGCCACCATCTCATGGGCAGGGGATGCCCATAGACGTGACCTCATTTAGTCTTCACTGCCATGAAATAATTACTTATGATCCGTCCTTCAGACAAGGAAACTAAGGCTCATGCCAGGAGTGGATCGGGCTCTAAATGCCAGGACCACCTCCCTTTCCTCCATGCCTTTCGCCTCCTAGCCAGTCACTCACTTCTCCAATCTCTTTTTCCTTCATCTGTAAAACAGAGATAATTATACTTTCATCATCACAAATAGCATATGACTAAATGCAGTGTGGTTCTTTGGACCGGAGCCTGGAATGGAAAAAGGATATTAGTGGAAAAACTGGTGGAATTGGTTGAAGTTTGAAGTTTAGTGAATAGTTTTGTACCACTGTTGGTTTCCTCGTTTGGACCAGCATGCTATAGTTATGTGAGATGTTACCAAAAAGGAAACTGGTGAAGGGCGCAGGGTAACTCTCTGTGTGATTTTCTGCAACACTTCTGCAAATCTAAAATTATTCCAAAATTGAGTGTATTATTTTTAAAAAGTGACCTGACAAAGGAGAGAAGCCTTGGGCTCTGAAAGGCACTGC